GAAACCAGTGAACTTGATTTAACAGAACACATCAAGAGCTTCCATATGTCCAGAGCTCATTTTTTATCATCTTTGTACTACTGACTGAATATGTTACTTGTGGTTGCAAGGCATCAACAAAGCTTTAGTTCCAGAAGTCCTGTCACAGATATTAGCTCTATGTAATGCTTATGGTGTACCACTTTAGCTTTCAGCAACAGTTGTTTCTATCTGCAAATGTTTAACTGATCTTTATGTAATAAGATGTAATCATGATATAGTACATTTTAATACACCCACCAAATCACATTACAGGTGCCAACTGATAACCTTTGGAAATCCCTGTTCTAACAAATATATATATTTTAATTAATATTATGGAATGTTTTCAGACTGTGCTGTAACTTGACTAAAAGCAAAAAAGGATGCTCATATGTCAAGATTAGTTCAAGTTGACTACATAAAAACAGTGTTCCAATTATTTCATCCTATCCCTGATGCCACTGTTTCTTGTATGAATAAATCTCAAATGTATATATAATTTTAGTAAACTTCCAGAGGAATAATCTCATAAAAATGAATTTATAAACATCACATAAGTTCTAAGCAATGTTGCCAGATTAAAACTGATAAAGAACCGCATTCAGCAGCTTAAGAAGTTGCAGGAAACTGGATTCCGAGTTTGTTATTTAATCCTTATCGCAACAAAGCCAAAAATGATTTGCAAATAAAGAGTTACAAGGTCATAAATGCTTGAGTTTGGAAGTAAAATTAATTATCTGAAATTGAGATTATGTAATACAGGTTGTATCAAAAAGATGAAACTCTGAACAAGATAGATTTTACTTGCTTGCAGAACTGCAATTTATAAGTATTATAAAACACCAATGTACCATATCTCAACTAATTAAGTTTAAATTCTTATTTTTGAATGATTTGGATTACTCGATAAGGAGAAATCATATTAGAATTCCATACTTATGTTGGGGGACTTTCTAAGAGAAGCAGTAAATTACACAAGAGGAAAAATGCAAAAGCCCCATGAAAACCAACCCATTTAAACCCTCAGGACCCAGTTACTAAAGAGTCTGAACCAATTGATTCATCTGCAAACAACTGTGCTTCCTCAAAATTGGCATCTAAGAACCCGAGTTCAATCTGGAAAAATTTTTTTTTTCTCGCCTGTGCTGAAAAATACCAGTGGTATATTTATAACTTATTCAATAGATCAATTTTTTGCAATAATAAATTAAAACAATTATTTTTAAAATAGCAGACATATTCTTCAATTGCTTTTACAATGCCATAACTCGGGAGCTATGCAAGGAACAATAAAAACGCAGATTATGACATACAGTAATGGATGCAAAGTTAGTAGAGTACAAGAAACTATTTCTGAAACTATGCTATGTAAGATGAAAACAAAATGGACCTTATTTTTGTCCCACTGAAATAAAAGAAAGAATGGCTGGTATGAGATACTTATATGTGTTAGATTCGAGACGTGCTTCCTGGCTTCAGCATTTGGACATCTGGTAATGATTCCCGTGTTATCTCATGAATACAACCCCTTCTTGCTGCTGTATCAGTTGAAAATGTGCAAGATGATTTCTGTATTGTACTTCTAGACCTTAAGGTTTTAAAGATTTGACTCATTTTCTTACTCCCCTCAAAATTTTCATGAAAGATACATGCTGTTTTTATCTCCAATACTGAAAGAAATTCAACAATGAATTGTGGCATACAGTTGACCATGTTTGAGATATGTCAAATTATGAAACAAACAACCATATAATACCAGAGTTGGCAAATTTTCATTATTTGTATCAACTGATGTATGACATATTTTTGTTACTGTAAGAAACAACAGTTTTCCAAGTAAGCGATATCTGCTTCTTTTTAAAATACTCGTAAGTACTGCTAATCACTAATGCAAAATTGTCTGGCATTCTGCCCAAATACTAAAGGGCCATTCAGACTGGGGTTTATCTGAGCGAACGGAGGCAACTGACTTAAAAAACCATTCTCCAAAACTAATTTTTTCTCACAGGGCAGCAAGTTGAAAAATCTGAACTGCAGGTAACTGAACTGGTCGACACATGGAACTGACTCTGTAAGTTCAGGTAACCCCAGTCTGAATGGCCCTTTATGAGTAACTTAAGACGAGTATGAATCTTAGAACTGAGTAGATGAAGGGTCACATAAAATTTCTCCATTTGCTGGAGAGGGAAAATCCTTCTGGCCATCTTGGCTTCAAATTCCTTTTATATCTTTGACTGAATTGACAGAAATAAATGCAAAAATTTGTATTCATTTCAGCCTTGGGATTAATAAAAAGAAATTCCATAACTAACATAAATAATATATGTATTTCATTAAACACTTTTAAATATAATATTATTAAACATTATGGAACTATATTATTTGGTGGAAATATTCTTTTTGTAACAGTAATTATTATAATCATATTGAAGTCACTATAAGGATAAAAATTATTCAATAATATTAATGGGTTAATCTTTGAATTATGGTAACTTGGCGATTTTTTGGCGACCAACCCTGTTACAGCAACCTGCTAGTTTTTGTTTGGATGCCATTTTGTTTTTACAAAGGCAATTTTTAATTTTTTTTTTACTCAACATTTTTTTTTTCAACAATCTGCTAGCCGAATTACACTTATGCTAGAACTTTTATGGAACAAAAGTGCTTAATCATGACCAAAATTAGGTAGAAATTGGGAGAAAGTGCAGAATCGCAAACTGCTTACCGCGTTTTTAAGAATTACACATACACGGAATCCATGTACACGTCGACCTATTTTCACTTAAAAAAACATCCCAGAATTGCACAAATGGCATTGCGCACACTCTTGACTTTATCCATGTACACTGCTAAAGTCCTAGCTAGTAACCTTATTAAAATGTCGCCAAACTACCTGTTACCATATTCCAAAGATTAGCCTATTAATGCAATGATAATTAAATAATTTTAATTGTAGTTATCCATTATGGTAAAATAAAAGTTATTTACTAGTATACTTTGTTATAAAATGATTGGAAAAATATATTTCAGGGTTCCCCTTGGTGAAAATTGGCGATTTTTTTTTTTGGCGCCATTCCTGTTTACATGCAATGCCCTTTCCAAGTAATACTGCATCCAAAACATAATTAAAGGATAAAAAAATTATAATCTAAATAAATTGCATTTTAAATCAAAATAAAACAAGGAAATAACATAAAAATGGAAATACATGTTAAATTTGCACAGTACAAAAAGAAAATATTGACTTGCCAGAAATTTCTCTGGCTTCTGTGCGCGTGGCACACAAATTTCCTCAACAGCTTCCAAAAACTGCCTTAAAATTATCTGAACCAGAATCTAAATACTGCTGTCGCCACATAAATTCACAAATGTAAGAATAAAAAATATCCCCCGAAGTGACGGACTGGGGGTGGCATTCTTTCGAAAATCCCCTTCTTAATAATACTCAAATGACTCTTTTCAAACCATGATCCCTTTCTAATGGAACACTTTATTTAGTGGACATTTTAATCTCTCTCACATTCGACCGTACGTATTTCCTTTATACAAACAAGACATTTATACAGATTACTGATTAAACCTTCATTTACAATAAACCAATCAATCAATGCTTTCTTTCCCATTCATTCCAAATCGTAAAGAAAGTTCATCTTATTACAGGCAGCCATTTTACAGCGTAAAGCACAAAATAAGCAACGTACATCCTAACCAACATCCAATGCAGAAATAACCTCGGAGAAATATTCTCTCAACAATTCAAAATCAGCACAATCACCCGTTATAACCAATCACATCATGATAGGGTCCAATCAATCACATCATGGTATAGCAGTGCTCCGCAACCTTTTCTCACCTGCGACGCACAAAAAATCTTTCTGGAATTTCGTGGCACACCAAAGAGTTCCGAGTTATCAAGGAAGTGCCGAAAAAATTCAAATGCTGACACACTTACAATCACACACACAACCACACAACAGTGAAATATATAAAAACATTTAAAATAGACATTATTAAGGAAAAAAAAATTGTCATTGTGTATTAAATACATGATAAAAAATTGCAAAATGTCAAATACATGTATTTGATTGCGGACACCTATATCCTACTCATGGCACACCAGTTGCGGAGCACTGGTATAGGACTTCCAAAACATACACCATAAAATACTCAGGTTACTATAAATGAAACAACAAGTTGGCGATAATCCAAGGGGTTCCCCAAAATTATTTATATGTAGCAAAATTAAACTTTTGAGAGCTGATATATAAATAAAAAAATACATGCAAAACTATGAAAATATAATCAAACACTAAACTAAAAATGCTGATCTACATAATCAGCTTAGATTACTTAAAATTAGTTTTTTTCCTCTGACTGTAATCTTAAAATGCTGGACAAAATAAACAATGAAAAAAACGTTAGCTATTCCTTTTGCATATCCTTTTCTATACACTCCATCTCATTTCACAAACAAATTGGTCCGAATTGCACATGCATATTTCTTCAAAATGTGAAAAGTCTAAATGAAAAAAGTTAATCATGTAAAAGGAAGTAAAGTTCAGATTTCGAGAGTTTGGCATTTAAAAATTTTTTAAAAAAGGTATTTCTTTGTTAATGTTGCCAACAAGATTAGTGTAAATCTGTAATATACAACTTTTAAAAGTTGGCAAAGACCCACACGATGGCACATTAATAAAGAAATACCAGAAAATATATAGAAAAGTTCTTAGAACAGAAAGGGAAAAACTTATACAAAGTACTTTGTTTCCTGTATGAAGATATTTTTCAAGTGCTTAGCTTTATATTTTTCAAGTGCTTAGCTTTAGATGATTTATTATCAAAAACTAAGTCAATAAAAAAATTTTGAAACTCTAGACATCTTAATAGATAACTGCAATCCAGAGATGTTTTTAAAATTATAAGCTTGTTTTAAACACAAAAGAAAATATATAATTTATGAAACAAATAAACATATATGATTTGTTCTACAGCTGTTTTATTTTTATATGCTGAAGCAGTTAGCAAAGAATTTTGATGAAAAACATAATTAAAAAAGTTTGTAGCCAAATTTTCCAGAGGAATTGTAGAAGCCTTACAAACTGTGTCAAAAAAAAAAAAAAAAAAAAAAAAAAAAAAAAAAAAGAAAGTAATTTTTGTTTTAAAAGTATCAAAATATGAACATATTACAAATCAAAATTTATAATTTACATTTCTTGGTCAGACTATATACATTTCAGCAAAAAACATGAAAGAGTACATATTACCAACTTAATAACTTATATTTGTGAAAAATACAAAAGCATAAAGGTCACTTCCTAAAGGAAAGTATTGTTTCGGCATTTTTCTGAATTCCTTAAATAATTTTTGTTATTTTGAGCATAACAAAATAGGAATGATACTAAATAATATTCCCCCCCTCCCGATTCAGATTTGATTTATAAAAATCTGATATATTATGTGAGTTGAAACAGTTAAATACAGAAGAAAATAAAAAAAGTATAAACTTTTCTGTTTTTTAAAAAATTACTCTACAGTTGTTATAAACTCCTTCAAAATGAGTCTGCTAGGCTGTCAGTTATTCATTCATGCAATATCTTCTTGTATCAAACTAAACTTGTACATTCTAAAATGTAAATCCACCAAACAGATAATAAATGCCATTGATTCACACACCTCAATATACCCCTAAAAAAGAACTAATCGTGTAATAAATTGCGCTGTTTGTTCATATTGTAAGCACAAATGAGTATGTGTATGATGCCAACTCTAACTATTTTGTAAATGTACAGCTTTCATATCATGAAGCATTCCCTGTGCCATGCATTCGATAATGTTTTCTAAAATATTTCTTATCTCTAAACTTTTTGTGACAAATATCACATTCGTACGGTTTCTCGTCCATGTGGCTCTGCCGATGAGATTTCAATCCACTATTGGTCGAAAAACCTTTATAGCAGATGTTGCACATGAAAGGTTTTTCGCCCGTGTGTGTCATGTAGTGCAGACGCAGATGTTGTTTCAGCACAAAACCTTTATTGCAAACATTGCATGTATGAGGTTTTTCACTTGAATGCACACGGTAATGCTTATTTAGGCAACTCACGTCGGCAAACTGCTTGTTGCACACATCACAAATAGGCTTCTCTCCAGTGTGTGACAGATAATGTTCTTTAAGGGCATCAGGTTCTGAAAACATTTCATTGCATATATTGCACATGTGTGGGTTTTCCCCTGCATGTATTAAGTAATGTCTTTTGAGGTTTGTTCTTTGAGTAAAGCTCCTATTACATATGTTACATATATACGGCTTTTCTCCAGTGTGAGTTATATAATGATTTTTTAAGGTCTTCAAGTGAGAAAAGCTTTTACTGCATATATCACAGACATGACGCCTGTCCCCGGTATGCGTTGTATAATGTTCTCTGAAGCTATTACGAGTTTTAAATAGTTTACCACAAACATCGCAAACGAACGGCTTGTCAGGAAAGTGAACAGCTTGATGCTCATTCAGATCAGCTTCATTTAAAAAACTTTGATTGCAAATTTCGCAACAAGGAGGTTTTCCACCATTGTGAGTTTGGCAATGTTCTTCTAATTCATCAAAATGCTCGAACTCTTGGAAACACACGATACAAATGCATGGTTCATATTCTTCATATTCGTGCAGTACACTGTCATTGCTTTCATCCATAACAATAGACATTTTAATAATATCTACCTACCGTCCAACTTTCGCAACAAAGTTTATTTCCCAAGAGCTCGAACACAACATACGTAGAACACACCAAGCTTTCACCAGTTAATAACTTCATTGGATGTTTCCACGTTTCCTGATATTAATTCCTCTAAATCCCGCTTGGCTACTACAAAAATGATGCAAAATTATATATTTTAATTTAAATTATTAATTTAAGGAAGAAGAAAATTTTATTGTAACTTATTATTTCTTTGGTCTTTTTTCTTTTAACACATGTGCAATTTTGAGACATAAAATGTTTATGTGGTCTTTATCTTTTTTACTTAATTCTGCTATATTATTTTTAGTTAATATTTTAATATTTATTGATATATAAATCAAACAAGTTAAAATACGATCGTAAATTACATGAGTGAAAAGTACTTATAATATTATCTTCAATTAAAATATAAATATATAAAACATTATTCAAATTTTCTGAAGTTGTTTTCGATAATGGCAACAGTATTTTGAATATGAGGAAAGTATACAGAGAGTTTTAAGTATATTATTTTAAATATGTGTGTATTAACGCTGCGTTCTTTCTTTTAGCTATTTTTGGAATATATCATACTAAGCGAGGTAAAGCTCTTTTTAACATAATGTTTAATGTTGTTTCAAAAACACTACATGTAACAATATGTTTCCATGTGTCTGCATGCCTTTCACTTAGCATAGTACGAAATATTTTTTTTTTTTTTTTTAAATTCCATACAGTGCGATTCCACAGTTAATATATAATTAAAAACTGTAACTTTGTTTAGTTACACTAGTTATTATATAACGAGCATGAAAACGCAGCTATATAAACTTTTTTAAATTTGTTTCATAATCGATAATTTTAATTCTGTATTGTTACCCACGTGAGGTGAATTTTGTTGGAGGTCACCTTTGTGAGTTTTTTAATAGTGAAAATATTATTTTATTATTTTTCGCGATATGTTTACGTAGTAAATTTTAAAAATTGCTGAGTAATTTTCACCTCAGAAATCATGAAATTTCGTATTGTGTACTGAATAAGCACAAATTTTCATTTTCATGTTAAAAAAATTGTTAGCAATAAAATTTAATATATAATTCGAATATATTTAGAAATATTTCGTAATTTACGTACTTCTCTATGACTTTAACCAAATTAGTTAAATAACGTAACTACTAATGAATAGTAATCTTAAGTACTATGTTACAATTTACTGTGTTGATATTTATCTGTTTTATACTAGGAGATATGCTTAGCTAAATAAGTCAGGTCTAGAAGACTGCATATGAACTTTTCTTCTTCCAGTTCATGCTAACAAACAGAAAACTGAATGTGAAATCATTATAATATGTTTAATGTGCTTTATTCAAGTGTATTTTATTGAGAAAGGAATTTTTTTTTTACTTTTTGACTATTCATTAAAGTTGCTTTTCAGTTTTTAAGAAAATTACGTTTGAGTAATATGTCCTCATGTGCCAATATGTTACTTCAGAAGGTTTGTGATATCCATTGTTTATAAAATTGTTATATTTTTAAGTAAGCTTCAGATTAATTCGTTGTTGATATGTAAGTAAAAGATAGAAAGCATAAAAAATTCTCATTTAATTTAATCATATTCTGTGCATTTCTAAATTTTTATATGTTTAATTATGCATGCAGATATTCATTGGAGATTGTGATGAGAAAATTCATCATAAAAAGTAAAATTCTGTGGAAGATGATATGTAATATATAAAGCATAATAGGAGATTGCACAGGATATTAAAAAAAAAATTGTTTATTCTGTCCCTCTACCTCTTAAATGGCTTTGAATTTCTTTAGTCATTCTTTTCTAAGAGCTGTTCATTTTACTCGTAAACTATATTTCTATGCCATCTTTTTCCTTTGATATTAGATTTTTGCTGGGTTCATGCTGAGCCATAGCTAGGGTTTTTAGCACCTGGGAACAGCTGAAGATTTTGCACCCCTTTCTGTCTGTATGCCAACAATGAAAAACATTTCATTATAAAATTTTGCAACATCAGTTTGACACCCCATGAATACTGCGCCCGGGAACAATGTCCCCCTAGCTACACCACTGGGTTCATATAGTCTTCTGTGACTGGTTATATAAATTGTAATGAGTAGAATATTTCCAGAAAGAGGGTGACAGGAATCTGTTTTCTAAAATTTTAAATGTTAAAATTTTATTGTCTGGTTTCTGTCTTAAATATACCAAAACACCTAAATTAGTTGAATAATATTTGCTGGCCTTATTCTCAACATTTCAAATTTCTAATTCCTATTAAATACTAAATTCTTTTAGCTGTATAATTGATATAATGCATATTTGTCTGGGTGTACTTACTTAAAAATCAGTGTTATTTTATTATGGCAATACAGACAAGGGCTATTTACATAAGGGAAGGCATGTATATGTGAAGGATATATTGGCTCATATTCATGTTATACATGGGAACAATCAGCCTGTTTACGTAGGATCGAGCTGTCAAACTGTAATATTTCAGTGGCCATTGCAAGTTAATGAGATTCATTCAGATATTTGTTAAAAGAACACGACAGGCTGTTAGAATTGGCATGTGTAAGCTGCTTGGCAGGATTATGCTCATTTGTAATAATCAAGGCTGATAAAAAGGTATAAGGAAGAAAAATAAGCACATTTGATCATCTCTAGTATGCATATTAAAAAGTTAAGATTAAAAAAAAAAATACTCTGAAAGGATTAGAAATATGTTTATGCTTGCCAGTTTTTATGTGCTGTCATGTGAAATGCATTCTCATCTTTTACTGTATATTCCTGATAAGTGTTATTTTTTATACTGTTGAAGATTATATTACTTATCATAATTTTTATATAAATTTATTGAAACTTGTATTTCAAAGAAAGTGTAAATAGGTTAGCATCTGAAGATATAAAATATTATATCTTTTAAATTCAAACCTTCTAACCATCGCCAAACCATTGGCAACTTAATTTTTTACTAAGCTAAGATTTGAAAAACAATGGCAGTTTTCAAAAATGATAATGCACTAAGAATTGCATAAAACAGTAATTGAGTAAGAAAACTTAAAATCCAAGAAACATCTGGGTAAAAATATATTTAAGAGTGCTCCTTGGCGAAAATTGGTGATTTTTGGTGACTGGCCAGCAAGGCACAATTTCAAGATGGCTGCTACTAAAAAAAAAAAAAATAACAAGTCAAAGAATTGTGAAAACTCGGTGTCCTTTTGAAGAATTGCACAAACTTGGCATTGTGCACTGACTTTGTACACATTGATCAATTTTTACTTAAAAATCAAAGAAGCACTCAATTCTAAACTAGAGCCAAACAAAAATTATGTAATCTCAATAAACTGCATTTTAAATTAAACAATGAAATAACATAAAGAAAGGAGGATCATGCACTACCGTCGCATCTACACACTATACAAAGGAAATATCCACTTACCTTATTTAGAAATTTTTGTGTCTTAAATCTGTGGTACAAAAAATTTTTTAACAGTATCTCAAAACTTCCCTCAAACCATGTTCCCTTTTTAACAGATAACTTTATATGGTGAGTATTTGAACCTTTCTTACGACAAAGCCATTTGAAGATCTTATGTTCGATCATACGCACTTCCTTCGTATAAAAATGGGACACTTATAATTCTGTTGAATTACATTCAACAAAGTTTCTTTTCTTCTGTCATCAACCACTTAAAAAAAAAAAACCTTCTGCTCCTTCATTCTATATCACCAAACACCCAGTTTGTCACTGGTAGCCATTTTACAGTATGTAAAGCACAAAATAAGCAATGTACTTCTTAACGGACATCCAACACAGAAATAAGCCATGAGAAATGTTCTCTCAACAATTAAAATCGACGCCATCACTCGGTACAACCAACTACATCATGGTAGGGTTTCGAAAACATACGTCGTAAAATACTCAGGCGACTATACTATAAATGAAACAACACGGCAATTATCCAAGGAGCACCCTAAAATATAGACTACCCATTTCTAATTATTCGATCAACTAGACTTGAAAGTCTGCTATAAAAGTATACTTTTGAGGGTCATAATGAAAGAAAAAATACTAGTGATTGGCTTCTGTAAAATTTTGATATATGTTGAATTAAGAAATGTTTAATCTTCTTCCCTTCTTCAATGGCCTGACAAAAACAATCCCTATGTGGACGAGTCTTTGTGTGTAAAATTTTATGCCCATAATCCTTGGAGGTTTCATGATGTAATTATCACCTTAATCAATAGAAGTTGATGGTAAGACAAAAACAATTGCTATGTGGACAAGTCCTTTTATGCAGAATTTTATGTCCATAATCCTAGTAGGTTTAATGATGTAAATATTATCTTAGTAGAAATTTTTTAACAGAATAAAGAAATTATAGTCGTGCCGATTTAGTCTTTAAATTTGTCTTTTTTAATTTAAGCTGGCAGTTTTCGTTTGTACAGTTTGTTGCATTAGCAAACTTATCTATGTCTTTGTACGAGATATCAAAACTGCAAAATCATTCAAGCGATAGATATGAATTATTTCTTTATCCCATGATATATTTTAATTTATAAGTTGTAGTTTGCCAGTGGATTGATTGGAATTTATAAAAGGCAGAGAATGAGTACCATCAAAATTATGTTCCTAAATTGATGATCAGCAGCTTCTTTTGAGTGAAAAATGTTTTTGCTAGAGCGCTGCTTCGAAAGTTTTTGTTCTGTTAAGCCCTTAAAAATGATATGATGAAATGGATTATGACCTCTTTCTAAGCACTGATGTCAGTTCCATCATGTATACTTAACCCCTTCTTGGTTAGCATCGTTGAAACTGAATTCATCGCTACTCGCATGTCACTTTAAATTCTGCGATTATTTTTGTATTTCTGAATACTAAGAAATAGCATGACTAGTCCTAGTTCCTTCACAATTTTTGCAGTGACATTTTCTGCCTTGAATGTCTATGTGATATCTGTTAGAATTTCAACTAAAAAAAACATTCAAGTTATTTTTGATATTCAAAGTAAATTTTTTTTGATAAAATAAACAAAAAAAAAATTTTATTAAATAAATGTTGTTTTTGTTATTAAATGTGGTTGTTATGTTCTGATGTCCAAGATAAGTTGTAAAGCTGTTTTAATGGTAAGGTAGGAAAACCATTTTCTGAAGCATTTTTTACATAATTTTAATAATTATTTTTAAGTAGATATTTATTTTAAACACATCAAAACAATAGAGTTAATAAATATAGTATCACATTGTATTTTTTAAAATTTAGAACGTGGGTGCTTTGCAGGGAAAACTGACAATCAGTGGATGGAATATCACGTATTTGACCATCTGTAGGTCCAGCAAAAACTGCTTACTTTCAAAAATATTTTGCATTTTTGAATATAGGATAGAACATATGCTAATTTTCAGCAATAAAAAAATGCTTTTTGGGGTCAGAAATTTAAAAAAAAAAAAAAAAAAAAAAAAAAAAAAAAAAATCCAACCAAGAAGAGGTTAAAGCTAAGTGGAATACTGATCGCTAGTCTTACTGAATTGCTAGTCGTTTCTTGATTGATCTCCCCAGTTCTTGTGAAAAATGTGATGCATCTCTTTGTTATAGCAACAGTTCAAAATTTTGTGGAAATTTATGAGGTATTTTATGTTTAATAATCAGTTTTTATGATTTTGAGCTATAGTATAGCTTTTTATTTCCATTAGCCTTCACAAGAATGCAAATAAAGTTAAAGAATATTTAAAGTAAGTTTTTGAATATTTTATATAGAGCTGCTGGCAACAACGCTTGCAGCTTATTTTCATCTGTCCAGCTCTATCTGTTAATATTTCAGCTCTAGCCATTTTGCTAGCCCATGTTAAAATGCATCATTAATGTTTTGAGTCAGCTAGTTAGGCCAAGTATGTGTAATCTCCTGCTGTGATATTTCTAAATTGTGAATTCTATTTTATCTAACTACCCATGAGGGCCCACCAGCGGCCGAGCGGTAAAGTCGCTGAACACTGGTAGTTCGGTCCGAGGTTCGAATCCCGCGAACGGGCTGGCTGCATGGGCGTTTTCGTGGTTTTCCCCATGTGTAACGTATACGAGCCAGTTTCCCTTAGAAAGTCCTCCACGAAAGGCACCCCTCCCCTTAGGCAGATAGCCCTCGTGTGCTTTGCCATAATTAAATACACCAACACCAACTAACTACCCATGAGTAATGTTTTGTTTCGGCATCTTTGTGCATTTGAAGTGATGCCTTTTGTTTAAATTAAATTTAAAAAAATCTGATGTGTACACCACATGGTTTCCTTGTACATAATATTAGATTATATGTTTTTTCCTGCATTTCATTTAAACTTATTTCCTTGAATTTCATTAGAGATATATTTCTCATTCAATTAATTCAGTTCTCACTTCGTGACTAGGCAAAATTATATAAAACCGCAAAATATCTTTATTAAAAATTGAAAAATGTAGAACATATAAAACGCCAGAGTTAAAACAAGTAAAAAAACAGTTTTTACAATTCAAATTAGAGTTTTTACACAGCAAGATATTCGACCAGTGGGCAAAAAATCAGATTTTTTGGGGTACGAAACTGAAAGATTACTTATGGTCCCACTTGGCAAAAAGACCCTGAAGGTGCAGGAACTGATTAAAGTCACTATTCTGCTAAGTTTCAAATGTAAACAAATATGGCTGTTATGGTAAAAAATCTGATTTGTACACACCACATGACTTCCTTGCATGGAATATTAAATTTTATGCATTTTTTGCTGCATTTCATTCAAACTTATTTCCACGAATTTCATTAGAGATAGATTTCTCATTCAAGTAATTCATTTCTCCCTTTGCAGCATGGCAAAAACATATTAAACCTCAAAATTAACTTTATCAAAAACTGAGAAATATAGAAAAATCTAAAATATCAAATACATTACAAATAATTATTACAATTAAAATTAGAGTTTGTACTTAATTACTCTTACAAGCAATTTAGCCAGCACACAAGAGGGCAGATTTTCCGATGCTGAAAACTGAAAGTTTTCTTTTGGTCCCACTTGGCAAAAACATGCTGTAGTTCCAGAAGCTGACTTAATTCACTGTTCTGCTAGGTTTCAAATGTAAACAAATATGGCAGCTATGGTAAAAAAAAATTAGGCATAGCCATACTTCAGCAACTTTTAAATTGTTTATGATTCTACTACTATTGCATGCAGATTAACTAAAGGCATAAGAACTTTAACCGGAAGATAAGAACAACTTAAGTCAGTCATAGTTAATGCAAAATTTACCAGCATATAAGAATTAAAAAAAAAAAAAAAAAAAAAAAAAAAAAAAAAAGAGCTCACAGAACCTAGTAACAGATTGGGTGTATATATATATGTGTAATAATAACAAAATCAGAAGCAGTGACCAGCAGGAATTTTACATAGAAGTGTTGATTCATAATGAACAGGAAATTGGAGGCCAAAGCCAAATGAAATCTTCAGTTTTTATTTCAGCAATATGTTGCAGCTACAAACAAATTGGCACATTAATTGTGCCTATCCCAAAAGTTTACATTTTTGATATATCTGCAGTAAGATAGAAGAAGCAGACAAACAGCAGTCCAATATGACATGGATTAATTTAGAAATGATGCAGCACAAATAGAGATTACTATTTTTAGAATACAGAAAGGAATTTTAAGTTGCTAATTTGATCTTTCACATTCTTTATTTTTCTTACACATATATACTTTTGGTGTGGCCAATTGCAACCAAAAAGGGAGGTGCACAGTGTTGTATATAGCAGTTCTATATACAGAATTTCAATGTTCTAAGGCCTTTAACTTTTGAGTTATTGCGAGATACGTACGTACATACAGACATCACAAAGTCTTTTTTTGAATCCATTTCAAATCCTTTTTGCAATCCGTTGTGGAAAGAAGAGTGCTTTATTCTTACGTTTGTGACTTAACAGTTGAGATGGAAAAACATTGTTAAATTGCTTTCGATAGTGGTCTAAATAGATATTTCATTGAAATAGGACACCTGAAAATTTTCGTAATTACTATACTTCCTTTAATTCGTACAAGAAAGTAAGAAAGGTTATTGTAAACTTTCGTATGACTTTGTTGTATTTATAATAAATGGAGCGATAACTCGCTTGTCCTAGGGTCGAAGGAATTTTTGAGTTAATATTAAAGAATTAGGATCCTGTAAGTTTTCATGGAAGCTTTCAGATGTTATAGAAAAGAAAAAGATGAACGAACTCCAACCATTATAAATTGTTTTATGTGTTATATATGCAATGTTTTTATGCATTTTCATAAAACAAACATGTAACTAAGCTGTAAAGGTTTTTAGTGCCTATTAGTCTCGTACCTTACTTTTCTGTCCGTATCACTTCTCAAATGTTGCCACCGAATGTTTTCGCATATATTATTTTTAAAGAAATAATATAGTGATTAAAAAAGTGGTGATCATCCAATAAGTAGCCGACCAATTCAAGATTTGAGAATGATAGTAATTTTTCTCAGGCAAACGGGTTGGCTGCACATTTGGTTTTTGTGAATTTCCTCGTGTGTAATGTGAATACGAAGCTCTATCCCTCCTCAAAAGGCATCCCTTCCAATTGGCAGATCGTACTCCTGTACTGGCCGTATGACATGTATTTATTAAACAGCAGATGTGTTGTATGCTTTTGATCATATACTTAATTTTTATATATTTAAACAAGACTATATATTTTTATGCTTAAATGAAATGCAGTGGAACCTCACAAACATAATTTGTTTCTGAATCTTTCTTGTAATGTGAAACACTCGTTAAGTGAAACAATTTTATCATAAAAATAAATGTAAAATAGGATAATGTCCTCTTCTAAAAAGTTTCCCTTTTAAAAAAGCAATTTGCCTAAAGATGTACGTTTTTGCATATGCTTCAAAATGCATGGCAAAAAGGAGACAACACTATTGTTAAATAAATTGTAATATATTGTTAAATAAAATGTTAAATAAATGTAGTGTGCATAGATATTGCCTTATGATGCATCTCGGAATATGATGCTACAGTTTTCTATGCTTTCAGCATCTCCCGTATTTCACTGGAAGGCTGTTGTTTTGGCTGCTAAGGCTGCTATCTGTTCCTCCCCGGATGAAATCCCTTTCCACAGCATCTTGCTGTGACACAAAAGGCAGCTCCTGGCTGTGCTCTTCCGCTAATTGATGTTTTTGTTGTATCTGCCTCTGGCCGTATAACCTTAGTCAGATGCTCAACTCTTAAAGCCTCCACAAGTACTTGTTCAAACACCTCGGAGTCACATTTGACAGCACTGCTTGGCCAAAGCTTCTAGCCAAGATACAGAAAGGATATTGCATGTGATGTCACAATGTTTCCTTGTTATTTATTCTATGAAACATCGTTCTAAAGAGATACTTTATTTCGTTTATCTCATTTTGTGAATCGCTTGTTATGGAAGGTGCTCATTGAGCAAGGGTTGACAGTATTATATTTTTATGTTTAAAAGAAATTAATTTAATGTTATTTTTACTTTAATGAAATATTCATACCTAAATATTTTTCTTTTTTTGCAGGTATTTGAAAAGTTGATTCATGGCAAACTTCAATTCAAGGAATGTCTTAATTTGTGTTGCGCCAGCTGTCATTTTGTTCCTTTCGGTGTATTGGTTGAGAAAAAAGAAAAAAATTAAAAATGATGAAGCTGCCACCATCGAAACGAAATGCGATGGCAAGTATAACAATGTGCTGGATTCTCCAGACACTAGCATAGACTCCTGTGTTGAATGTAATTACAAATTTGCTGATATAATTTCGGATAGTAGTGAGGCATCTAAAGAAAGTTCTAAATCTGCAAGAACTCAAAATGACCCTTTAGTAACTGTGCCTAAAACTGTGGTAGATAGTTTTCATATTAAAAATATACCTTCATCAAGTTTTACTGAAATTACAGGTAATCAAATTGATAATTTTGAAATAGTGAGAAGCAATTTATCTGATATTAAAAATTCACAAAGAGAAGTACTTCCTAATATTTCTAACTTAAAAAATTCTGAAACTAATGCTTCTGACACACAAGAAAATTTTGAAATTAATCCACAAATAGAGAATGATGTTGAATTGAATAATAGTTGTAATATTTTACTTTCAAAAATATCAAATCGGCAAAATTCGTATATAGTGCAGAAATCTCCTGTACAAAATGATTCGATATTTGAATTGAAAGAAGAAAAGTGCAAGTTAGAGAATGGCACGTTGAATCTTAGTTCTGATGAACTAACTTGCGCGGCAGAATTTGAAGAAAAAACTAATCGAAATTGCAAACAGTATGAAAAGCTGTGTCTTGATGATGCAGAAAGTGCTGAAACTACTTCCGCCATACCTACTGGTTTGGCTGTTATGTCTGATGCATTGGTTTCAGTAAAATCCGAAAGCAAAGAGATTGATACTCAGATTGATAAAAATGTTCTTGCATCTCATGCATTGGAAGAATATCAGTTAAATGAAAATGATAGTTATGGTAGTCAGTCTAGTGTTCTGGATGAAAGTAGTTCTTTTAGTTGTACTAGTGAGGAGTGCGATAGTAAACAAGTAATTGAATCAAAAACTAAAAGTAGTTCGTCTGGTATCATGGACGAAAGTAGCAGCTTTTGTGACGAATTGGAAAAGACTTTTGTTGAGAGCCCAAACCAGAACATTATGAAATCTGAAAGTTTAAATGGCAACAGAGACAGTGTAGAAATTAGCCAAGAAAATACTGAGGCTGCTATAGATAATTCAATTCTAGGTCATGTAAGTATTCAAGAGTGTATAAAACAGAGCAGAGATCCGGGTAGTTTTGGAGATGCTGAAACCGAAAGGTTGTCTTGCGAGAGTTTGCAAGAACAACTTTCGAGTTCCTTTTCATCTCTCACTGCCACATCAGATTGTAATATATCTAGTACTTTAGAATTGAGTTCAGAACAAAGTCTGTATGTCAGTTTTGTGGAACCCACGGATCCTGTCTCTTCGGATATCGAGTCTCTGTCCGATGTAAAGTTACCCGAGGATCAACAACTAGAAGAGTCAGAGTCTGTGCTTCTTAATCATAACGTACTTCCTGTATGTGATAATCTTAAAAAAGAATCTAATTGTAACTTATCTGTGCAAGAAAGTGTGCTGTTTGAAACTGCTTCGACTGCATCGGCTTTTCCAGAAAATGTCGGGCACGATAGCTCGAATTGCCAGCTTTCAGTGGTTGAACCTGTAGATTCTATTAGTCCTCTTGTTTGTACTTCTGCAGCTACAATATCTTGTACAAATGATAATGAAACTGCTGAAATGAACAATAGTTCACAGTGTGTGGTTGCTAGCAATATTGAGACAGTCGCGCAAGTCAGTCGGACTTCTTTAGATAATGCTAATTGGAAAATGCAAGATAATCAACTTCAGGTGAGTAAACCATTGCTTCAAGTGTTATGGAATTCATAAGACATGGTTTTTTAATCACTTAAAGACGTGCCACGTATGTCGAGATGCTTTTGTCTCAAACCGCAAGCGATGTGAACACCATGTCAATAGGCATTTATTGCAAAAATGAAAGTAACATGGTGCACACGTCGCCTAACAGCGAGATTGTTTATTTCTTGAGTTACAGGTGTAGACTGCAGACGCAGAGCGGTGTAAATGAGACACTTTACCGCTTATTATATTGTAGCGCACGGCACCGCAACCGCAAAGTTTAGTCGTAGCGCAAGTGGTTAATTCAATTATTATGTTGATATTTTCATATTACCTATGCCCTTGTGAAAAAGTTACCAACTCGATGGTGACTTTATGAATTAATTAAAATTTTTGTTTGGCTACATTTATAGCTTATAGGTATTGTACCTAAATGATAATAAGAAGCATTTTATAAAAACATGACAAAAACAAAAACCTATATTATTGATTTAACATTTCTACAGAGGCCAATACTGGCCAACTCCCATCTTCAGTCATGTTTTCTTAGTACAATCAAATTCAGCTTTGGTAAATCTGGCTTGTAGCACATCTTCCCCCATATGTGACAAATGGAACATTTTGGTCCCTTTTCATTTCCTCTGCAAATTTCAGAATTACTAACCCTTAAATTCGTTCTGTGTAAAGAACATTAAAATACTGAAAAACCCCTTAATGTAGGATTCTCCACTGTGTAATTCTAAGTTACTATTGAAAGGAAAGTGAAGAATCTTAAGAACTGATAAGCAAATAATCACTTGAGTTCGTGTGATGGGAAACTACAAGATAGAAGGGTAAAATAACCCTTTATTATTCCAATCGAGATTTAACAGACCTCCGTCTTGGTGTTGTACAATAAAGCCCACACTTAAGAGATTAAGAATTAAACTAGTCTTAACTAAAGAGATGTAGCTGAAGCTATCAAAATTCTAACAGAGCTAATTGACTGTGTAGCTATCAAGGGCCTAAAGTGTACATCCGAGTGTAATAATAACTTACGAGAGAGTAGCCTTAAAAGGCGTACATATGCAGCGAGAATATCTGGTATCTCTCTCACCAAGGCAGAACTTCGCGGTTAAATAGCGCTCTTCCTCATTAGCATTCAAACGTGATTCTAAAACTATGTTCTGGGCAGAAGTACTAAGTTGAAATTAAGAATCGATAGGAAAGGAAGTTTAACTCAAAATTTAACTGTTCATAAAATTAACAATCCTTACATAACTACCGACCAGACTTTAAATAGTCGTAAGCTAAAGCTCTTTAAACGACCTTGTTTAAGACTTTATAGTCTAAAAACATTATAACGTTAAACTATACACTTCTAACTCTTGCATTAACTAGATTCACGGGAAACTTCTGTTCTTAGGGACAACTTTACAGCAAATCTAAAGCTAGACTAAAACTATAAAATTTTACAATTTTCATCTGCTTCTCGACAAACATCAACTTCTTTTAATACATAAGTTAGTTATTCTGCTGCTTTTAGTCTCTTTGTCCTTCCAAATATGGAAGGAAACAATGTTAGTAATGGATTTTACGAAGATTTCTGTGTTCCTTACAGTTACTCGTTTATTGCCTCATTTGGCCCTCATACACTTTCATTCATAGTCAAACTTCTGTTTCTCCCAAGCTTTCCAGAAGTTGTTCTGAAATGTGCTTAGGGTACTTCAGGGGTGTTTGTGCTCCGGGGATTTTGAACTTCGATAACGGAAATTCCGGGGATCGTCGTTCAAAAGGAAGTAGGAATAATAATGAATTATTTATTTTGATCTGGGTAATTTTGTTTGCTTTGAAACAGAAAACGCAAGGTCAGTGTGTGTGGTGAAAACTTTTCCTTTCTTTCTCCAAAGGCAGTGATAATGCGTGAAAAGGGAGAAAAACTTCTTTTTTGTTCTTTCCTTATTGCGAGTTATGACTCATTCCCCCGGTTCTCGGACATTCTCTTCTGGATTCTTTTCGGCAAGTAGGCGCGGCAGAAAAAAAAAAAGGGAGAGACTTCGTTCGACCAGATGTGCGATCACGTGACTCTGGGTTCAAAGGTCTTATCTCTCCTGGCGTGGCGCCAATAAGTAGAGAAGGGGGATTTTTCGCCGTATTAGCTATTTGTCATTGATCGCTTCTCAACTTTTTTTTCTCCGCTGTGTAAAATTTTCGTTTCATTTATTGATGCACGTGTAAATTTTTCGTTTCGTTTATTGAAATATTTTTTTATTTATGTACGCAAGAGAATTTCACTATGAAATTTCTCGATATAAATAGTGATATTATACAATTAGAAGAAGGTGTCCGGAATGCATTTAGGTGGAATTGGATTGAACGGAGAGATGGTAATGGGGATACCATCGGCACATGGTGCAAGAAAATAAATGTTGCTGGACAAGCATATTGTGTTTTTTGTAACTCACTGCTGAAGTATGGTGGGGAAGGATTCAAGGCTTTCACAAATCATTCTAAAACTGTGACGCACATAAAATATTCAAAGTGCATTAGACATTCAATGACTTTAAGTAATTATGCTAATTCAAAAAATACTGATGACTTACTGGAGACTGATGCTCGGCCATTGGATATAGTGACAAGAAAAGCACGCCAAGAGGTATTAATAACTTCGTTTATCGCCGAGAATTCTCTTTCTTTCAATGTAGCTCCCAATTTAATTGAACTCTGCAAACAGTTGAGCCGCGATCAGACGGCACTAAACTCGTTGGAAATGTCCAGGACTACTGCATGTTATAAGATGAAATATGGGCTCGCAAAAACTATTAAGGAAAATATCATTAAAACTTTAAAGGAGACTCCATTTTCTCTAAATTTGGATGAAAGTACTAGCAATGCTCAAGAAAGTATACTGGCAATATTGGTGCAGTTTTATGACAACAATCAAAATGAAGTTGTAGTTCATCATTTTGCATCTCTAAAGATGGAATCTTGCAATTCAGAAGCTGTTTTTAAAGCAGTTGTTAATACTATTGAAGATAATAATATTCCATGGGCAAACTTAATTAGTGTATTAATGGACTCATGTAACACCATGCGTGGAAAAAAAAAAGGGTGTTGAAACCAGACTACGATCAAACAAAGCACCCCACTTATTAGATATTGATGGTGACACATGTCACACAGCTAATAACTATGCAAAAATATTTGCTTCATGTTTTGATAGATACTTAGAAGATTTGTTTGATGACATCTATTTTGATATGAAAAGCTGCAGTAAAAGAGAAAAATTTTTCAAAATCTGTGAATCCCTTGCCATTAAAAAACTTAAGCCCTTGAAGAGACCAGACCATAGGTGGGTGTTGGGTGTACATTTGATGTGTTTTAGAAAGAATCAAAGATCTGTGGGATGCTCTTATTGCATTTTATTTTCACTACTTGGATAAAACTGATAAAGGGGATTATTTTTCTTATGTTGAAACTGTATACAATAAAAGAAATATTTCTGCAGCTCAGAAAAAAATTGTTGAAGGGGTGTATTCTCGCTTGCATTCCCAACAACTCACAAAGGATGCTTTAGCTCGGAAAAAAAAAAAAGAATACTAAATGGGTTATTTGTTATGCAAAACAAAACTTTATTGCATATGGCATTATATTCAGCAGTATTACCAGAGTTCAACACATATATTAAATTATTTGAAACAAAAAAAACCAATGCTTCATTTAATACATTCCAGTATTTATAAATTGATGGCAAAATTTTTCTCTTTTTTTATGAAGCCAGAAAATATAGAGTGCACATCTTATAATGATTTATTAAAGGTTGATGTCACAAATCCAGAATTCCATCTACCTAGCAAAGTAATATTTACTGGTGCAGAAGCTTCCACTCTCCTGAAGAAATTATCAAAAAATCATCCAATAGCAAAAGAATTCCAAATTTCTCTGATGAAAGCTTATACTAATACAGCACAGCATATGAAACAGAAATTACCCCCTTAAAAATTCATATCTAATTAGTTTTACAGCATTAGATCCAGAGCTAAGAGGTAAAACCAGTACAATATTAGCTTTTGAAAAATTATCATCTTTTATGTCCCATTTTTTTTAGTGATAATGAAAAGTCAAAAGTAGAAGCTGAAATAAGGTTATACCAGAGTGATATTGATATCACCAAAGAAATGCTCTACACATCTGATGAAAGTGGAAATCAAGTCAAGTGTACAATTGATAAATATTGGTCTAAAGTTTTTAATTTAAAAGATGATTTCACAAATGATTATAAGTATCCTACATTGGCTAAATTGGTCAAAGCCTGCCTTAGCTGCTTCCATGGCCCATTAGTGGAAAGTGCATTCAACTTAATGGATACACTTGTCACTGACTATAGAACCTCTCTTAAGATTGATTCCCTAGATGCAGTGCAGACTATTAAATATGATTTAATGGCTTCTAAAGAAACCTCATGTGAAAAATATGGCTCAAAAAATCCAATGACTGATCCAATTCACAAAGATCTCTTACTGAATATGAACAGAAGTTGGAAAACATATCAAGAGGACTTAAAAACATGTATTTCAGATGAGTCACCTATAAAAGTCTCTGAAAAACCTTCTACATTAGCAGAAAAGCAAACTGCTTCTACCTCTGCATGTGCAGTTCTCGAGGAAAATTTCTTCAACTGTAAATGAGGAAAATAAAAGTCAACCTTCCTGCAATTATGAAGTTCACCACAAAAGAAAGACAAGCCCACAAACATCAGAAAATAAAAAAAAGCAGCAGAAATTAGATAATTTTTTTTAAAGAATTAATTCAGGTAATTTAAAATATTTACATAAAATGTAGTAGTTTATATGTTTGAAAATTTATGGTTATTAATTTTGCAAAAAAAAGTAATTCATTGAACTTTTATAATTAGGTCATTCAATACTTCATAATTGTAATTTTTCATTTCTCTCCCCCTCTTCTCGAAACTCCAAAATGTCGGTAGTAAGTCCGTAAAAGTTTCAGGGGAT